GTTGAATTGTTAAAATTACGTAGAATCCACGTGATGTTTAATAACATTATACGAGTAATGTATATGAAATATGTTCAAGAACTTATTAAAATTTATTTAGAAATCTATGTTAGGTTGCTAAAATTATGATTTTAACATTCGCTCCTATTATGACCAAAATAATTTTTTTTCCAGCGTTGTACGTAATGGAATGCTTAGGTATATATTATATCTGTTTGCTTATCTATCCTTAAGTGAATGAATAAATTTGGATATAAAATTTTAGTTATCCAAATTTCTATAAGTTTCTTACACACTTTTATTCCTCCTATATATAATTGGTTCAGACATATTAGTTCACTTGACTGTCTATTCAATAACTCTTGTTTATTTTATTATTAAACATAGTTTAGGTAACGTTTTATCTCAAATTTTAATTCTATTTTGAACTTGACTATTAACGCATTGTCACAGGGTTAATATTGGCCCTTCTGCAAAATTTAAGTTTTCAATGTTTAGCCCAGTGTAATTTTACTTTTTTACGTTCTAGTAGAGTTAACGGAAGAAATAAATTTTTAGTTATTACAAGGCTTCTATAAATATAGTTGTTGATTTTCATATTATCAAGTTCAAGTCCGAATGCTCATTGTATGGGAATTAGCCTCTTATACTGCTAGAAATCTTTGAAATTATTAAAACCACAAAAGTTAATTTTGTCATTTATTTTATATATAATTCTATTTTTTATTAAAATTAAATTTTTAAATTTAAAATACAATGGTATTATGTACTTGGTTTATTTTTCAAAATTTTTAGTGTTATTTTTCTTTATTTACACAAAAAAATAGTTTACTTTTATAGTTATTTTTTTTTCTGGTAATTTTATATTTTGTTTGTTAATATGAAGCGTTTGTTTAGCTTCCCCTGTAGTTTAAATTTTTCAATTTTTATCGTTTTCATATTTTATTTTTACTTAAAATTTTTTTTTTCATTATTTATTTTAATTATTTTCATGTGCTATAAAAATAATTTTTTTAAGGTTTTGTTCTGTAACAGTAACTTATTTATTCCTTTAAAAAAAAAAATGATTTTTTTTTATTAACATTTTAAATTAAAATTAAAATAAAAACAGAATTATATTTCCTACAAAGGAATCAGAAAAATTTTGTTGGGTCTGTTATTTTTCAGATTTTTATTCGAAAAATTATAATTATGGCAACATTCCGTATTGTCGAAATACAAAATTTTGAAACTGCCTATAAACGGCGTTCAAATCGAAAACTAACTGCAATTTTACTCGAAAACTATTGACTTTATCTTACTCACTTAGTTACAATTTTACTCAAATCGAAAACTCATGACTCAATTTTTTGATGTTGACTTGACACATTTATTTTTGAACTGTCATATAAAATAAAATTACCATTTTTACATATAATAATTATAATTACATATCGTTATACCTTCTGAATGATATATAGCTATTACAAAAATTTTAAAAGAGCACCCAAAATTTTTTGATTTATTTGCAATTTTTTGCGTTTTCAAAACGGATTTGATAACAAGTCGGAACATAAAACATGTTAGTAATTATTAGTAATCATGAAAATTAGTATGAAAAGCAATGTGGAGAACACTTTACTGTTCTTCATTCTTCTGTAGTGCAGTTGATATAGAGCGTCCGCCTAGTAGAAAGTAATAGTCCATTGGTTCGAATCCAGTTCGAGAAGATAAAATTTTTTCATCCATTCTGCAGTTCTTTGAAGGAATTTCCATTATTTTCTTCTCATAAGAAATTAATAATAAAAAAATAAAGAACTACACGTTGTATTGTTAATTTCTAATATTGAAAATGTTTTTTAAAATACAATACGGGCCATGTCAAATTATATTGTCAAAGTTTGGATTGATTTTTTGTTTTTGAATACGGAATACTGCCAATTTTACATTTTGTGTTTTTTTAATGAAATTAAAGAATAAAATTTAATATTTTTGAAAAATAAAAAATATTATCTATAATTTTTATTAATTTTTAACATAAATATAAATTATGAAACAATGTGTATAAGATAAAATTCAGTATAAAACTAAATAAATACTTAATATAAATAGGTACAACTTTCATTTATAATATTATAACAAATAATAAGGTAACAACAAGTGATTATAATTAAATTAGCACTATTTCTATTTTATATATTATAGTATGTAGGTAAGTGACTCTTTATAATAAATTATTTAATCAGAATTATTATTGTTTTTTTATTTCAAGTTTTGCCTGCAAATGTTTTTATCATTGTAAATTTCGCTAGGTACACAATATATACATACATATATACATATATGGAGGCATGTATGAAGATTATTTAAGGACGCAAATAATAAATTTTTGAAGATTAATGAAGTGAAAATATACAAACAAAGTATAGCTACATATATTGAATTATTTCAGTAAATTTATAAGATTTGTAATATGTATATAGACCATATTTTTAATACATATATCTATACATACATATATAGAAATAAATATGTACATAAAATTATTTAAATACTGAAAGAAATTTTTATTAATACGAATATTTTACTGTAAAACTTCATTAAATCGAATTAATTCAAATGAAACAAACAAGACTGAGTTGAAAAGCATTCCAGTTTTAAGGGAGGAATAATATTAAGTATTTGAGAATTTTAAATTAATGAAAATAAATTTTGTGAAAAATTTATGGTACGAATAATTAAGCTTATATAAGTCACCCAAAATTAATTTTCAATTTAAAACAGGAAAACTTTTTATGTTACAAGCATTTTTAGAATTCTGTTAAATTTACTTTTAAAACCAAATATTTTAGTTCTATTTATTAATTTGTTAATATGAATTTGACAACTTTCTTTTAGAATTATATAGAAATCATTCGTTATTATCGCTATGTTTATTACCTAATCAATTACAAATAAAATACTTTTAAAATCATTTCATTTCTATATTAATTTTGTAAAATTAATTTTGATTTCGATTTGCAAATTTTTGAAATACAATATAAATATAGATAATATATAAGATGTATGTTATCATGTTAACTTAAAACAAATAGGTATATAACATATATCATGTACCTAATTATAATTAAAAAAAAACAAAACATAAAAGTAGAAATTCAATATCTTCAAAAACTAAAATATTTTTAAAATTAAAATCTTCTTTTTCAAAAATAGCTATCTCTATTTTATTTTACAATATTTTAATATATCTAAGTACATATATATTTATATAATGTACATAATATATACATACATTTATTTGTATTATAAATAAATTATTAGGTTTGTTTTTTTTCTCTTTGTTAATTCTAAGATCACAGTTATTATATAATATAAATATGTTATTTTAATTTTACGAAAAATTGAGCTTTTCTTTTATACAACATAATTATTATTATAGAACATTGTTATAATTTATACATATAAAAATATATACATACATACAATACATTTAATAATAGATTAAATTTATTTCAAATAAAATAACAATATTTTAGATGAAAATAAATTGAAAATAAAAGCAAAAGTAAAAGTAAAAAAAACAAAAAACAAAATAATTAATTTAATATGTTCAGTTCAAAATGAAATGAACAAAAAGAAAAGACAAAAACAAAAGCAAAAACTAAAAAAACAAAAATAGCTATTTATAGCTTAAAACGGTAAATTATATAACAACTTGTAAATATAAATCCATACAGAGTGAATAATATTCCAAAGAGTACTCTTGTTCTGAATTTGATTCTCAAACTTTACAATTTCAAGATGCATGGATTTTGAGAGAAATCTTAAGCATTACATATATCTACTTGTTTACTTGAAGCTTAACATGAAAAGTGTATTATATTATTAAAAATCCCTATTAAATTCAATTAATTTGTGTCAGAGTTATTATTATTTAATACCGTTTTTAATTGAAATTCCAACTTATTATGAAAAGAAAATTTAATAAAAATAGTGATAAGTGCTCATGAGTTTCTAAAAATGCATTACCGTTTCATTGAAAATATAATTCGAAATATTAACAAAATTAAAGAATTGAGAGATATCTATGTCAAATTTTTAATGCTTGCAATTTCGAAAAAAAAAATAACTATAATTGATATCTTATGTTTTTCAGCCTCTATTTAATTTGAAATAGCAGATTAGATGTGAATAAACAAAATTTTGTACAAATTTTTCTTAAAATTTCTATATCCTCAAGAATTGTGATTTAGAAGGGGGAAAAAAAAACTGTTCACATAATCTAGTCTTTATAGAATCACCCTGTATAAAAACATATATTTTTTATATTATTTCCACAAAATATAGTAAAATTGTATTATATTGCATTAAAGTGTGTATATATTAGATTTTATTATAAAATTATTATCCATTAGAAAGAAATTTTTATTTACATTTCTTGGCCCGAAACAACTCTTAAAGTTATATGGCCCCTTAAAATCTTAAAAAAAAAGTAATTTGAAGCGTTAACAAAAATAAATTTGGTTTTTTGTTAACGCTTCACTTACAAAATTTTGTTCTCGTCCAAAACGTATATAGGCAAGCTTTACGATAATTTAAATAAAAAGTTTTTGTTTCCAGTATTTTCGGAAACTATAAAAGAAATAGTTTGTTCCGATTTTATTTCGAATTACATTACTTTATTATTCATCGTACTAGAATATTTGAAAAATCATGTCAGCTTTGAAATGTGTACTAAATAAAAGACGAATATTATAAGATTTCAAATTTCAAAACAAAAATACGACCATTTTTCCTTTAATTTTGTTTGACTAATAACTATACAGAATTCGACAATATTGATATTTTTATTTAATAAAACACTTTGTTTAACAAAAAAAAAACTTCTTTTCTTTGTTTTTAATTTGATTTTCGTTTCGTTTCAAGTTCTTGATTTGTTTTTAGTTTTACATTGACTTCATTTGTTGCAAGTATTTAAAAATTTTTTCCAATTCATTAAGAGTTTTTATGCAAAATTAGCAATAAATACAGCAAATAGTCGTTTTACGCTTCAAGATTTAATAACATTTTTAAAAAAACCGAGCTCTTAAAGATGCCGTCAAATGAATACTGAAAGGATTTGATTCAGTCTTTCGAAATGTAGGCTGTTGTTAAAATAAGTTTAATAGTTTTTTGATATTGAAAAATTTCTTTAAATTTTGGGTTTTTTGTTTTTAATATTAAAGTGGTACTAAGCCCTATTATCTTCGTATATATTCAAAATCCTACAATGACTGAATTTTATTGAAAATTTCATATGAAAATAATTAAAGAAGAGAAATGAATAAAATATACAAAAGAAACAACTTGTTATATGCGATGTTACAAATTAATCAAAGAAGAAAATTGAATTTTATATTAATAATGTAAAATTATAAACGCATGCACGTGTACATTTCTTTAACAGCGAATTAGTTTTCTTAATTTACTATTTTTTTTTTGGTTGAATATACAAAATATCCACAATTTAATAATAATCTAATCCTTATTATAATTACTACACATTTATTTTTCTGTTCCTATTTCTATAAGGTAGTTTCTCTTATCTAAATTTGCAACATTTGTAATTTTTTTTTTTTTTTTAGCTACACTTATAAAATAATAAGATTTTATTATAATTTTGTTGTTTTTAATTTTATGATCAAATTTTTATTTCTTTTTCTACATTTTTTTCTTAAAAAAATGATTTGTCTTTACTCTTAACATTTTGTTGATGCTACCTTTTTGGTCTCCAATGATTGAATCCAGCTGCAGAACCTTGCGTTCCGGTACGTGAATATTGACATAGTAAAACTTTTTTAAATGCTTGACGAAAAACCTTATTGAATATTGTATAAAAAATTGGATTAACCATTGAGCTGGCATAACCTAGCCACGTAACAATATCAAATACCCAATGTGAAATTTTTTCTTCACAATCACCACAAACTGTTGGTAATAAATTGAGTACAAAAAATGGTGCCCAAAGTATTACAAAAGTGAAAAAAACAACACCAAGTACTTTAGTTGCCTTCTGTTCTAATCTAATAATACGGCCATGACGTGATGAATTTCTTGATATTACTGAAGAATTACGGGAATGATGTGACCGTACTGTCGCATTTCGCTGCAATAGACACGGTGAAGATGAAATTTTATTTGATTTTAATGGTGATTGTGTTACTGTATCACTATCATGACCATTAATTGAATTTATATTACTAATGCCAGTATCAATAGTACTGCCACCGACACAACTAACGCTACCCGTGTTATTAGAACCATTTAAATAATTAATATGATTATGATGACGCAATGTTGTTGAACGTCGCAATGATGAAATATGTTGTTGATGATGATGATTATGATGTTGATGATGATGATGTGATATTGATGTTGATGAAGGAACTTTTGTAGGAGTTAATAATAATGTTGTACGTGCACCACCAAAACTTGAACCACGTCTTTTATTACGTTGTGAATCCCATGTTACAACAGACGCTGTTTTAGAATAACTTAATTTACGTACTGGTGTTGGTGGTGGTAACGATAAATAGCTATTGTTTGGTGAAGATTTCTTCATATTCATATTACAAGTATTTGCATTCAATACATTACTTATACTTTGATTATTATTATTATTATGCTGTTGTAAACATGTGTTAGATAATGTTGCAGTTGTATCAGATTTATTGATATGAGAAATATCATCTACATTTTTTAAAGAGATTTTTGTTGTGGTTATTGGTGTTGGACTTGTTGCTGGAAATAACGATGATGTTGATGATAAAGATATTGTAGAAAAGCTATTATTTGTTGATGATAATATTTTTACTTCAGTTTGTTTTAAAGCACTTTTAATTGGTACATCACCAAAATATGGACATGTACAAGGCGGTGGGAGTTGTAAATAATCCGAATGATCAGTCATATGACGATTCTTATCATAACAATGCTGTTGTTTTGTACTTCTCATAGAAGATGATTGGCTACTTTTCTTTAAAATTGATTCTAAATGTTCACCGCTACTTCTTTGTTTATTTTCATTTATTAAATTTTTGCATTTTTTATTTGAATCTTTGCAAGTAGTATCATTATTGGAATGCAAAGATTGTTTCATTAATGGTTCCAAAGAATTTTTTGGTAAACTAAAAAATCTTCGTCTATAAAATGGTGGTGGAGTACCAGGAGATTCATATTTTTTTCCTGGACTTGATGTTGATGCTCTTCGTCTTTTTTTGAAATTCATAAGTTGACGATGTGTTGACGGAAATGATGATGAATTACGTCTGCAAATGAAAACAAGAAATTAATATGTGCTATAATTAATCAAACAAATTTTTAAATTTTAGGAAATGTAAAAGCATTTTTTTCTTCTTTTATTGTAAAGTTTTCCTTTTATATTTCAAATTTATTGCATTTTCTTCACAAATTTCTAATTCTAAATTAATATTGTTATTCAAAATAATTTTTATTGCTAAAATTGCTTTAGATTACCGAAAATATTAATCTTAATTAAGAGAGTTATTTGTGGTATTTCATTTCTTCCATTATACGTAATTAGAATTGTGGTAAAAATTTTATCAAAATATAAATATGGAACTAGTTAACTGACGTCAAAAAAAGATAATTAATGATAATATTACAAGTCCAATTATTCTGTCATATAACAGACTCCAACATCTCACAAGATTTTTATAATTTTTACTTAAGAATATTATTTTTCTTTAAATTCATTATACATTAAGTCGACAATGGTAATTCTAAACAAAAAAATTATATGCATAATATGTAATATCGGTTTGAAATTTTTTAACAAGACTGGTCCTTTTTTTCAGAATTAAAATTTTTAAGCTGAATAAAACCAGTTGATTTTACATCCTGGTAGACAGCCGAATTTTATTAAATAGTTCATAAAATTGGAAATAAGATAGATAATTTGAATTTTAACTATATTCGAAAAATGGTTTCGCTTGATATAATTAAAATTAGAAATTCATTTAGTTTTGCACAGCTGATGTAATAGAATCCGCCTATTGAAATATAAGATTGCCGAATTCGTCCTTCAACTACTTATTGCTACTTCAAACAGGCTTCTTTGTTTCTTTGGTCATTTTTTTAAAGTAATTTGAATTTGATTTTTTAGATTCAAAGGGACTACATTCGATATCTCAGAAACTTTTAGTTGTGAAGTTCTATAATAATGAAGTTGTCCGAATTTGACTTCTTTGCATTTGACTGTTTTCATGTTGACTGTTAATTTTTTATACATAACCTTACACCTTATTATATACAAATATTTATCTTTTTCATTAAAAGATGACGAAAAGAAAATGAAAAGAAAAGAAGCAAAAGAGATAAGAAAATTTTCAAAGTAAAAGAGATAAAAATAAAAATACAAATAAAAACAAGAAAAGAGAACATAAGCAAAATTAAAAACTTTAGAATCAAGAGAAAAGAAACTTTTCCATTATCTCTAAAGGAACAGTTTTTGTTTTTCATTGCACTTAAAGGTATTTCTATAGTTATTTTTTGTTGTTTTTATTTTCTTTTGCCTCACAAACTCATTATTGCCAAAGAAAACAAATAAGAAAGAATTGATAGAAGAAAAAAATTTAATTTGGGCATTCAAAAAAAAAAAAAAAAACTTTTTAGTTTTTTTTTTGATAAAGAGTTATGAACGTTAATGATTAAATTTTTGACGCAGATTTTTTTTTTATGCTTTAAGATTCTTTTCTTTTAAAAACGTTAAAAAAGCAAAAATTAAAATGATTAGCTATACAATTTTGGAACAAAATTCAAAAAGGGTAAAAAACAAAATATTATTTTTCATTATCCTTCTCACTTTTTCAATATATTGTTCATTTTTATTGATTTTTGCAAGTAAATTTTCAAAATTTAATTTTGAGAAATTTTTCAATATTGTTACACATTTCTTTAAGAACAAATTTTTTGTTTCATTTATACAAAATGTTATACAAATGGAAATTCCATAAAATTTGTATAACATTTATATAACATTTATATATAACATGTTATATTTGTATAACATTTTCGGAACCCAATTGAATATACCTTATAAATTTTAATTTAGTAAATTTAATTTTCTAATTAGTTTTAATATTTCGGAATTTTATTAAGAATTTTGTCATTTTAAATATTGTAATTGTATAATAATTTCATTGGTAAAATAAAAGTTAAATAAAAGATGTAGTGTTATAAATATTACAGAACATATAATTTATTATAATATCACAAATTAAATAAAATAAATAAATAATTTTTAAAAGTTTTCTTAGTCAGTTTATAAGCCCATTATTGAAATTAAAATGAAATATTCTTCAGTATTAATAATTACAAGTAATTTCATTAAAAAATTTCAAATTTTATTTTCTATTATTCAATTTAAGCTACTATAATTGCAATAAAAGTGAATGCAATTCCCAATTTGATATTAAATTTTTTCTAACCTGTTATAAAAGCATGAAAATATATCGACTTAGAATTGCACAATCACTATTTATCTAGTTGATCTTGATTCTTGATAATTCAAATTTACAAGACACTTTTGATTAAATTAAACTTCTTAAATAAATAGAAATGCTTATATTGTTCATAATTTTTTGTAAATCTATGTGCAGTGTATTAATGCATTTCAGTTTTATATTATTTAAGGAATATACGAGTATAATGAATAGAATTTTATAGTACTCGTATGACAAGGGTAATAACGATATAGAATTGAAATTCAATTGAAAAGTGTACATTTTATGTAAGTAAAATAAAATAATTGAATTCTGTTTGAGTATTTTTAAAAAATTTACGGTTTAATTTTATTTTGTGTCACTTGTGTATAATTCTATATTTTCGAAGTCCGCCTTTTCTATTATCTTAGATGTACATTTTTTTATATCTAATTAAAGACTAACATATTATTTGAACTTTAAATTTTTTTAGTATAGAATAAAAGATTTTCTTTTTACATTTTTGAAGTTTTTGCTAAACATTTCTCTATACACAACATAGGCAATAAATAATATTATGTTAGACGTAATGTATGAACAATGACAGAAAATTTAATAAAAAATTTCAAAATAAAAAAAAAAAATGTATTGGAAAACATAAAGCCAATTATTCGCTTTATTTAATTTTGTATACATTGTAAAAAAAAATGTAAAAAATGTAAAAAAAAAGACAATGTTCAAGAAGACAAAGTTTTGTGATAATTACAAATTTTATAAAATTTATTGTATTAAAAGCTTCTAAAGTCAATCGATTTAAACATCTACAATATAAAGAAGGACAAAAAGTTTAATAAAGATTCCAATTTTATTCCAATTTTAACTTCTGCTTTACGATTGTATTCCCAAAATAAAGAAAAAAAAAAACTTTATAATTTTTTTTTTGTTATATTTATTTCATAGAATCTTTTTAAGAAGAAAGAAAGAGATTTTTAGAAAAAAGCAAAAAAAGAAAAGTTTTCTATAACCATAAAATTAAAGAGAACAGATCGTATTGTGTATGCTCGCATTGCTAAAATAAAAGTCTTATTGTTTAGTAAAAAATACATATTATATATATACATACATATATATATAAATGAAAACAAAACAATGACCACCAATGTAAAAGTTGAAGTGACTGAATTTCTTCATTAAGTTCTAAAATTTATTAAGTAAGTGTCCACCAAAGGAACTTTCTTTTTTTTTAAACCATAAACCTTATATACACGTTTATTTTTTCAGTTGTTTTGAATATTTTCTATAGAAAATAATTATAGTATCTCTAGTACCTCTAAGGAATTACACAAAATATTTTATTGCATAAATTCAGGAGAATTCTCAATGGTGAAATTTTTTATATTGTGAAAATTTTTAAATTAAAAATATTAGTTGTAAGTTGTAAGTTTTTTACCGGCCGTATTGTATGCAATGAAGTTGGTTATATACTTAGGTCTGTCGGTTTGTCGATCTGTGTTGGCATACGTGTGTCTCAAGTTTCAATGAACCGATTTTGATGAAATTTTATATATAAGTTTATTTTGAAAAATATACACTTTTCTACCTATATTACCTATATTAAAATTGAAAGGAAATGTTCAAAATGCATTTTCATAATTTCCTATAACACTTTCACTAAACTAGTCAATATACATACATTGCGGTGCTGACCACATCAGATCTTTTTTTTTTTCTTTCATTATGTACATATATTAATTATATAAGTTCACATCTAACCACTTCTCATGGGAGGTATGACTCTGTTACTATACCGATTTTTGCGAAATTTCCATTTCATCATGAAATATAAAACAAATACATACGTGTATATAACCAAGATAATCTTAAATAATTTAACAGTTAAAAAATAAATGTATGTATATAAAATTTTAAATTATAATTTCTACGAATTATATTGTTAATAAGGCTGTTCACAATAATATTTTTATGTACTTGAGTACAAAAAAAAAATAAAATAAAGTTGAGCCAAAGCAATGGTTTGTAATGTATCATTTTTCCCTTCAAGCAAACATGCAATTTTTTAATTTTCTTAATATTTTAAATAGTACATATAGATCTACATATATGTAGATATATGTAGAAAAGCCAGTCGCCGCAGAAAAAGCCAGCCATACTATGTGTCTCCGTTTACAGAATTTAAGATTGTGGTTTTCTTACAATAATTAGTTAAAAAAATGGCATCTTTAGGTCTTTGAAGGGTACCTTTTAGAGGGGGGAGATAGGTAAAAATATTCTTCTATAGAAATAAGTTTCTAATAAAGATCTATGTACATATGAACTGTCAGCTTTCCATCTTCGAAGATGTAGAAGTTTTGTAAACATATCCACGGACAGACCGACGGAGAAAGTGAAACTAAAAAGCACTTTTTTCAAAATGTTTTTAGAATGGTTCTAGAAACCAAAATTCAAGATAAAAAAGGCAAATATATACAGAAAAAATGAATGAGGCTGAGAAAGAAAATAAATTGCATATTTGCTTTTGCAGCTTTATTGCTCTTACAACTTTACAATTTGGAATTTTAAGAAAAAGATCATATTTAAATCAATACTTAATATAAATAAGAACAAAAATTTGTGTTTATACTTTTAACATTTTTTTTGGTATAAAAAAAATAAATTATGGTCCACACAATAACCGACCATATTGCATATTCTCTAAATAATTTTTACGGGTTCCAATAAATTTTTTCTGAATAGTTTAGCATAACTTTAACATAAAACTGAGAAAACGTCTTTCGCATATAAAATATATTATACATATATCTACTATACACATTCACTTATTTAAAATTTTAAGAAAATCAGTAATCTTCTGTGTTCCCTGAAATATTAATTTAGTTTTGTAGTAGAGAGGGGGCTGTCGTTTTGGCTCTGAAAGGAACTATCTTCTGTTTTCATATAGTTCGGTGCTCCACTAATTCCATAAACAGTTCCAAATTGGTGAATTATAAGCTCTTAAATTTGCTAGAAAAAACTCCTGGTTAATAATGAGTATTATTATACCTATGTATATTTTTTAATTCATAATTTGCCATCACATAATATAAATTGTATGGAATGTCGAATCAACATTCCAAATGAGTCGTTGACATAATTAATTTTGTCTCCTAAAAATATTGATAAAATTTTACTCTTAAACGTAAATTTACAAATTTAAAAAATATTAATTTTTGGTTACTTTTCGATGTGGCAGAACATTCAATTGGTTCGTTAACTTTCAGCAATTATTTTAATAGTTAATACAACGCTTATATAAAGTAAAAAAATTAATTTATTAATGTTAACTAAATTTATTGCTTCTTACCTTATGGAATCTTTCATTTCAAAAATTAATTTCTTTACGTAAGAGTTTCAAACCGAAAAAAAGAAAATACATTTAATTTTTAGCACTTTTCCAAAAATTTTTTGAAAAAAGTGCTTATTAGTTTCACTCTGTCCGTCCGTCCGTCAGTCCGTCCGTCCGTCAGTCCGTCCGTCCGTCCGTCCGTCCGTCCGTCCGTCCGTGGACACTTTTTTTGTTTACAAAACTTTTACACCCTTGAAGATAGAAAGCTGAAATTTTGTATGTGCATAGATCTTTACTAGAAACTTATTTCCGTAGAACAAAATTTTTACCTATCTCCCCCCCTCTAGAAGCAATACCCCCCCAAAACCCTAAAAATGGCTTTTTTTAACTATTTGCTGCAAAGAAACCATAAGCATTTTTGAAATTCTGCAAACGCAGAAAGGCAGCGGCTTACTTCCCCTAGCGCAGTATACTATAGTTAAACTTTAGAAAAACAAAATGGCTGTTCAAATTTACCGTTATCTAAAGTCCTTTTTTTCCAAAAGTTTTTATGTCGTTTTTCTTCTAGACCCCAGCCTGTAAGAGCCTGAAATTTTAGGAGCTTTTAGACATTAACAAATAGTTTATTTCGTTAGAAGAAAATTTTTTCCCATCTCCACCCCCTCTCAAGTTATCGCCTCTTGAATTTTGTAAAATTTGAATTTTTGACACCTTATATTTCCGAAACCGCAAGCTTTTTCAAATTTCTATAAACGCAAAAAGCAAACGGTAAATTCCATGACATTAAAAAATATAATCATTTTTCTTAACTCACACAATTAACCCTTAAAATCGAGCATTATATTAACCCCACTTTATATTAATTTTTACTTTATTTCAAAGACTGCATAAATTGTTCATCCTAAATATATGCAATCCTAAAAATAGTTTTGTATATGAATGAAAATAATTTTAATAGTGTGATAGCTATACATAGACTGTATTTAAAAGCAGAATTTTCACTTGTTGAAGGGAAAAGTGCTACAATACAAACCATTGGTTTGACCCAACTTTATTTTATAGTTCATTTGAAAAATTAAATTTATTTAATTTCCTAAATTATCTCTGTTCACAGATTTTTTGGAATAAAATAGTATACGTATGTGAGATATTTGAAATAACTTTAATACTTGATTTTGTTTTTGTATTATCAATCATAATAATATTATACATAAAGGTTATCAGAATACATGAGTATAGCTACGCGTACTCATTGAATATTTTTAATATAAAAAGAGAAAATATGAAGTTTAACTTATTGAACTATCTGATAACGGTATCACAATAAAAGCGCAATAAGTAATGTAAACTATGTATACTCGTATATGTATAACAAATTAACGAACTGTAAAATAATACACTGTCTTTCAAACCTCCCAAAATGGATTTTTAAATTTTTTTTGTTAAAAGCTGTTCCAAATTAATATTAAATTTTGATTATTTGCATTAATTTCAAAATAAAAATATAAACAATAAGCCCTAGGCTATCGAATTAAAACAAAATTTAAATTTTGTAAAGGGGTTTATATGTTTATAGTATGAGCGTCTTAATTATTGTGTTAGCTATGTATTGAGTGTCTTGATTAATATTGTATTGTGCTTTCAGGATTTCCGTAGAATACAATTTTGCCCAAAAATATGACTTGTTAATTTTGTGATATGAAATTTTTCATAATTATCACAAAATGTGATATTTGTTTATTCCCAAGTAAACTAAATAATTTTCTCATACTGTTATAGAACTGATAGATGCCATTACCAAAGAAACGAGAAATTTAGTTAAATTGTTTTACATATATAACAAAAGATAATATTAATAAAGCACATGAGCATTACCTCGACAGTATTGTTTTGCGAATTGTAAAATAAATAAAGTTGGGTCAAACCAATGGTTTGTATTGTAGCACTTTTCCCTTCAACAAGTGAAAATTCTGCTTTTAAATACAGTCTATGTATACCTATCACACTATTAAAATTATTTTCATTCATATACAAAACTATTCCAAGGATTGCATATATTTAGGATGATGCATATATGCAGTCTTTGAAATAAAGCAAAAATTGATATAAAAAGGGGTTAACATAATGCTCGATTTTAAGGTTTAATTGTGTGAGTTAAGGAAAATAATTATATTTTTTAATGTCATGGAATTTACCGTTAGCTTTTTGCGTTTATAGAAATTTGAAAAAACGTGCGATTTCGGAAATATAAGGTGTCAAAAATTCAAATTTTACAAATTTCAAGGGGCGATAACTTGAGAGGGGGTGGAGATGGAAAAAAATTTTCTTCTAACGAAATGAACTATTTGTTTATGTCTAAAAGTCCCCAAAATTTCAAGCTTCTACAGGCTGGGGTCTAGAAGAAAAACGACATCAAAAATTTGGAAAAAAAGGACTTTAGATAACGGTAAATTTGAACGGCCATTTTGTTTTTCTAAAGTTCAACTGTAGTATATCGCGCTAGGGAAAGCAAGCCGCTGCCTTTCTGCGTTTGCAAAATTTCAAAAATGCTTATGGTTTCATTGCAACAAATAGTTAAAAAAGGCCATTTTTAAGGTTTCGGGGGGGTATAACTTCTAGAGGGAGGGAGATAGGTAAAAATTTTGTTCTACGGAAGTAAGTTTCTAGTAAAGATCTATGTACATATAAAATTTCAGCTTTCTATCTTCAAGGGTGTAGAAGTTTTGTAAACAAAAAAAGTGTCCACGGACGGACGGACGGACGGACAGAGTGAAACTAATAAGCACTTTTTTCAAAAAATTTTTTGGAAAAGTGCTAAAAATTGGATTCTACCAATTAAAAAATGATTTTCTCAGTTTTATTGAAAATTGTTGTCAGAGTTTATTGAAATATGTTAAAGAATACATAATTGTAAATTCTATGGCGCTTAATAAATAATTTACTCTTATTATAATTTTGGTTATCTTATTTATTTAGGCGAATAATACACATATTTCAATTTTAGGTATTTTTGTATAAAATGATACTGCGATCAGTCATACCAAAAGTCATATTACATTTCTATTTCCAAGCTAACTAAAAAAAGTTCAAACTAAAAATGAATCACATTTATTTTGTATAATTTTACACTAAACAATTTGATTCACATAGATGTAATGAAAATACATTATAAACTTTCCCAACTCAACACTAAAGTAAATTAAAGAGAATCGAAGAAGCTTTCGTCATGAGAATTCATATTTTTAGTGTAAAACTAATCGTAATACAAAAAACAAAAAAAAAAAAAACCATAACGAACGTATCATGATTAAAAAGTTAAAGTGAAAACAACATTAAAATTCAACAGACTAGCTGAAGTTAGTATCATTTGAGATGTTATTGAGAGTGGAATCTCAAATTCTCAATTATTTAGTTTCTATTTTTAGTTTTTGTATGTAGTGCGTTTATTTTTATAAGTATATACTTATACTTATGAATAATAATATATTATCTCTACCTGTGCACTGAATATTCTACAATTATTATTATTTATGCTTAATCGCGAATTAATATTTTTGACGAAAATGAGTGATTTTTACTTTTGATTTTGTTTCTAGTACAATATTTCAGCAACAATATTTTTAAATTTTGCATTATTTCTTTTTATAAGAGGTGAATATATAAAAATATTTTTTGATTCTTAAAACCGGTTTGTTAACATATGATACCCGCGTGTGATTTATTTATTATTGATTATATACATTTGTTTTTTAAAAATAGCTAATTCGCATTTCAAAAAAAAATTTCGGTTCGAATGTTTTTATGAAATAATATAGTATGCTACTAAAAGTTTTATTTTATACTATTATCACAAGTTATTTATCAATATTCGGTATGTATTAAGAAAACACAGAAACTATTTAAAACTCGTATTTGGATAACTTCTAAAATTAAGATTTGATAATGCAGCATTTTCTCAACAACAATGTGGAAATGGAAGAAAATTGTGTGACAACGGACAATGCATAAGTATGGACCATTGGTGTGATGGAAAAGTTGATTGTAGAGACGGTTCTGATGAGACAACATCTTGCCTAAAAGTAACGTGTCCAAAATATTCATTTCGATGTTCATATGGTGCTTGTGTTGGAATGGATTCTAAGTGTAATAATGTCACTGATTGCTACGACGGCTCAGATGAAACCCCCATAGTATGTTCTAGTCTCAAATCCAATTCAACGTGCCCGTAAGTATCTTGCACACTCTAACAAAGGTTAAATATAACACAATAAGTTTCTGAAGTGAAAGGTGAAATTATTTTCACAAATTTGATCAAATCTAAATATTATAATGATTTCAAAAAAACCTCATAATTTGTTTTCCTATAAATTAGATAACGTACAAATATTATTATTAACCTATACAATATGAAAATTTAACAATAACTTACTATAACTTCTTTTGCATCATTATGTAGACTAGCTTTTTTATGAATTTAAATATTTTTAATTTTAGCATATTTGAGGTTCAATGCAATAATTTACAATGTATTCCGCAAGAGAATGCGTGTGATGGGAAAGTGGATTGCACTGATGGCTCAGACGAAACTATAAATACCTGTGCAAGCCAGCCCTGTCCAAAATACTCTTTTAAATGCGCATATGGAGCATGCATAAGTAAATTTGATAAATGTGACAAAAAAATTGATTGTGCTGATAGATCGGATGAAAATAATGATGAATGTCAAGAGGAAGGACTAATTATTTTAGGCTCAACTCCTAGGGTAGAAATTTCAACGCCCGAATCAGTCCCTTTATTTGGTTGCTTTGTTCCCTCAGGAACTTTAATTTTGAGGGATACATACACAAACGAAAGATTCAAACCAGGAACGGTAGTTTCCATGCTTACATCTGTTAACTATTCTTGTCCTTCAAAACACGTTCTAGAAGGAAACATTAACAACTTTTGTGATGATGAGTGGGTTAATCCACATCCAAAGTGTATAAGTAAGCAATAATAGAAAAACACCGAACGGCTTTTAATACCCGAATATTTAAGACTTTTAATACCCAATATTTTTGTAGAAATGTGTCCACCAATAAAGGGTCACACTATAGAAGTGCAATGCAATTTAAAAGGAGAAGGTGTTGATTGTAAGAGTTATGTCGAACCTGGAACCACTGCCAAGATAAACTGTGCAGTCATGTATAAAAAACCAGAACGTTTAATCCATGAAGATTTACAATGTCAAAATGACGGGGAATGGAATTATTCACCATTCAAATGCGAACAAATATGTGGAACTCTTGACACAAAAGTAGCATTTAGTGTGAATAGTGAGGTAACCGCTCCTTCTAAAGTACCATGGCATGTTGGAATATATGAAAAACAAAGTAATGGGAAATATGAACACATTTGTGGTGGAACATTATACTCATCAAAAATCGTAATAAGCGCTGCGCATTGCTTTTGGGATTCAAAGAGTTCAACTTTAAAAGATAAATCAAAATTTCTTGTAATAGTGGGAAAAGCTTTTAGAGATTATAATGCTTATGAAAGTCTCCACGTTCAAGAATCCAATGTATCAAAAATTGATATTCCTGTAACGTAAGAGTTTATATTTTCATTCATATAAAAAGCTAATGATTTCACCTTCCTTTTAGATTTTACGGGGCAGACCATGACTATGCCAATGATATTGCCGTTTTGACACTTAATGATCACATTATATTTAAAAACCATATAAGACCAGCATGTTTGACATTCAAAGAACACAACGACAAATTTCTTCAAAGTGACAGACACGGAATTGTCGCTGGTTGGGGTATTACAGATGATGGAAATTACAGTCCTGAACTACGTTCAGTCGAACTATTATCAATTGATAGTAACGCTTGTAGAACTAAAATTACTAAAAACGACAAAATTGCAGGTGATAAGTTTTGTGTTGAAACTAGTACTGGAAAAAATGTTTGCCAAGGTGATAGTGGAGGAGGATATCTCATACCAGAAAATGTGGGTGATGCCACATATTATCATATCTGGGGCGTAGTTAGTAATGGTATCACATCTACAAAAGACGGCGTGGCAAAATGTGATGCAAATTTCGTTACAACTTTTACAAATGTACAATATTACAAAGAGATTATATTGGATGCATATGCCAATGCATATGCCGTAATTTAGTTTGGCTTATTTTAGGTAAAATAAAGCTTACATTTTATCTAGACAACATTTCAATAATTTTGTTAAGGCTGAAAATACATTATGATAATTGAGTAAATAAAATTTTATTTTCGTTATATTTTTTGGTAGATTTATGTTACTGCTAAGAGGTTTTACTTTGTTGATATAATTTGACTATATATTATATAAAGTCAGCAAGACATTTACTTAACATAAATTTTTTTTAGTAATTTTGATTAGAAATATTAGTTATCTTTTTCATACAGAAAATAATAACATTTTACGTTCTAAGGTTATGAACTGTAGAAGAACCAATGGTGTTTTCTAAATAATGCCAAGTTGGTTTTCTAATCTAAAATATTTGTGTAACAAAATTTTTTTCTTCTGATTTTTCAACGATGCAATAAACTAGAGGTGGAAAACTATCAGTGGTACTATCGATACTATCGGTAGATTTTAACTATCGCAACTGACGATGGTTTTAAAGTGGATTTAATGCTATCAGTTTTTGTCAGGTATTAATAAATTTTTAAAAATGGGCAAGAGCGGGTAAATATCGTTTTGAAATTTAAAAATTCCATAACATTATTTTCATATGTACACACAAAAAATATTTTAATAATACAGACACTTTAATTTACTACATCAGCTTTTTGTTTTAGTTGGTAGAGTTATGTTCTTCTATTCCATTCTAAATAATTCCTGAAGACGTGGGAAGAAGGTAAATTAACACTTAGTTTCACTTTATTCTTAAAATTCCTTCTTCGGAATGAACAAGCGCAAACACTTGGTAAAAGCTATATTAAAGTTGAAATTTAGGACAGAACATGTCGTTTGAATACTGCATTTAACCGAGTGTTCGCAGAAGCGAGTTAAAAAAAGCCGACACGAAAATTTCTTTTGTTGCCATAAGATGTGGAGAGGCAAATATGTACTTTTGAAAATATTTTAAATTTTTAGTGTTAAGCATTTGTAATTAATAATTATTATTAATACTCGTAAATAAAATAAATAAATTATTTTTAAATTTTTTATTTTCATTTCAATCTTAATAAATTTAAAACATATTTCCTATGAATAGGCAATGATTATATTTCATAAAGTGATCAGTATGCATACACCTTTTTTTCTTTATAAGTTACTTTACTTCTATGTCACTACCTGATACTGTGTATCTTCTGTACCAGGTACATGTATGGGTACATTCATACATGAAATTTCAAACTCTTTTGCTTTCATACATTCGAATTTTTTACCTAACTTTAAAAAATGAAAAATAAATTTTGTTATTATCAAAACAAAAATAACAAAATTTTTACTTAACTTAATTTAATTTTATTTCAGTCCAATGTTTTTGATACACTCGTTTGTTTACAATATTTTGTTCCTTTCTTGCCTGCACAACTCTTATTACCATCTATTTTTAAAAAAAAATGGAATGTTTTAAGAATTTGGAAGCAAGATGCAAATGAAAACTAAAGGAATGGAACGAGTCGAATTACTTATTAGTAGATATATTCTCGTAACAATATTCAAGAAGCTTATGACAATGGATTTTAAACACTTCTTTACAATTTTAAGGACAGTAATAAGCTTTTAGTTAACGTACCTAGAAAAATGTGATACATTGCCATACATATAAAATTTCATGAAAATCGGTTCAGCCGAAATTGAGATACGCGCGTGCACACACAGAGAGAGAGACACCTCTCTACAAATAGTTTAATTACCTACTATGGAGAAGTGTCTTCCCACTGAAAACCCGATATGCAAAATTTGTTGCCATCAAATATTGTGGTTAATAAAAAATAAACATTTCTATAAATTAAAAGTAGACAAAAATCTTTCAAGTACTCTTTTACAACTCCTCTTTCGAAAACGATAAAAGTAAAATTGAGAGGAATGTAGAGTAATAAAGTTGGGTCAAACCAATGGTTTGTATTGTAGCACTTTTCCCTTCAACAAGTGAAAATTCTGCTTTTAAATACAGTCTATGTATACCTATCACACTATTAAAATTATTTTCATTCATATAGAAAACTATTTCTACGGTTGCATATATTTAGGATGACGCATATATGCAGTCTTTGAAATAAAGCAAAAATTAATATAAAAAGGGGTTAACATAATGCTCGATTTTAAGGGTTAATTGTGTGAGTTAAGAAAAATAATTATATTTTTTTAATTCATGGAATTTACCGTTAGCTTTTTGCGTTTATAAAAATTTGGAAAACCTTGCGGTTTCGGAAATATAAGGTGTCAAAAATTCAAATTTTACGAATTTCAAGAGGTGATAACTTGAGAGGGGGTGGAGATGGAAAAAAATTTTCTTCTAACAAAATGAACTATTTGTTAATGTCTAAAAGCTCCTAAAATTTCAAGCTTCTACAGGCTGGGGTCTAGAAGAAAAACGACATCAAAAATTTGGAAAAAAAGGACTTTAGATAACGGTAAATTTGAACGGCCATTTTGTTTTTCTAAAGTTTAACTATAGCATACCGCGCAAGGGGAAGCAAGCCACTGCCTTTCTGCGTTTGCAAAATTTCAAAAATGCTTATGGTTTCATTGCAACAAATAGTTAAAAAAGGCCATTTTTAGGGTTTTGCGGGGGTATAACTTCTAGAGGGGGGGAGATAGGTAAAAATTTTGTTCTACGGAAATAAGTTTCTAGTAAAGATCTATCTACACACAAAATTTCAGCTTTCTATCTTCAAGGGTGTAGAAGTTTTGTAAACAAAAAATGTGTCCACGGACGGACGGACGGACGGACGGACGGACAGAGTGAAACTAATAAGCACTTTTTTCAAAAAATTTTTTGGAAAAGTGCTAAAAAGTAAGAAAGCAATAAAATTCAAAAATTTTACTCAAAAAATATATGATGCAATACACACACATATAAAAATATTGTGTGCGCTACGGCTTCGTCATACACTGTTAACATCAATTTGCGTTTTATTATAAATATTATTATAATATAGATTACAATATTGTATTATATAGAATACAACACAATTACTTTAGTTTAAGTTATGTTCTTATAAGGTTCGTGTTTTGAACTTAAGTTAAAATTATCAACATTTTTTATTAAAATATGTTATCGATAATTGAAAACATTATTTCCCAATATTTACTATCATAATTCCGGATATGCTTGAATCTAGAAGACCGTTTTTCACTATATTCGTTTCGTATTTAGCAATAGTCGGTAAGCTACCTGAAAAAGAACTTTGTTTTCATTCACAAAGAAACTTTTTACTTAATAAAATTCATTTTTTTCTTTCCGTTGAATATAAAAATACCGGCACAGTTTCTTCTCAAGAAGAATGTGAAAATGGTATGAAAGCATGTGATAATGGGCAATGTATAAATACAGACTTTTGGTGTGATGGTGAAAAAAATTGTGATGATGGGTCAGATGAATCAATTATTTCATGCAGCAGCCTTCAATTAAATTCAACATGCGCAGTTACATCAATTGAGTTTGACTTTTCAAGAATTTATAATATTATACAAATACTAACTTACTATTGAATTTTCAGTTCATTTCAAGTACAGTGTAATAATTCACAATGCATTTTGCAAGAGAGTGTTTGTGATGGAAAAAAGGATTGTGATGATGGCTCTGACGAAACTCAAAAAACTTGTGAAAATCAACGTTGCCTTAAATATTATTTTAGGTGCAGATATGGAGCATGCATAAGTAAACTAGCGAAGTGTGACGGGAAAATTGATTGTGCTGATGGATCAGACGAAAATAATGACGAGTGTTTAGAGGAAGAACCAATTGTTCCAAGACAAAACCATAAATGGAAGGATTCGGTTACTGAGTCAAGCTCTTTAGTTCATTGCATTGTTCCTTTCGGAAATGTAATTTCGAAGAACACACACACAAACGAAACATTTGAACCAGGAACTAAAGTTTCCGTTCGTACATCTGTTAACTATTCTTGTCCTTCAAAACACGTTCTAGAAGGAAACATTAACAACTTTTGTGTTGATGAGTGGGTTAATCCACATCCGAAGTGTATAAGTAAGCAATAAGTATAAGAAAAACACCGAACGTTGTAAAACAAAATTATTAAATCCTTCTAATGTTCAATACTTTTGTAGAAATGTGTACTCCAATAAAGGACCACACTATAGAAGTTCAATGTAATTTAAAAGGAGTAGGTGTTGATTGTAAGAGTTATGTCGAACCTGGAACCACTGCCAAGATAAACTGTGCAGTCATGTATAAAAAACCAGCACGTTTAATCCATGAAGATTTACAATGTCAAAATGACGGTGAATGGAATTATTCACCATTCAAATGCGAACAAATATGTGGAACTCTTGACACAAAAGTAGCATTTAGTGTGAATAGTGAGGTAACCGCTCCTTCTAAAGTACCATGGCATGTTGGAATATATGAAAAACAAAATAATGGGAAATATGAACACATTTGTGGTGGAACATTATACTCATCAAAAATCGTAATAAGCGCTGCGCATTGCTTTTGGGATTCAAAGAGTTCAACTTTAAAAGATAAATCAAAATTTCTCGTAATAGTGGGAAAAGCTTTTAGAGATTATAATGCTTATGAAAGTCTCCACGTTCAAGAATCCAATGTATCAAAAATTGATATTCCTGTAACGTAAGAGTTTATATTTTCATTCATATAAAAAGCTAATGATTTCACCTTCCTTTTAGATTTTACGGGGCAGACCATGACTATGCCAATGATATTGCCGTTTTGACACTTAATGATCACATTATATTTAAAAACCATATAAGACCAGCATGTTTGACATTCAAAGAACACAACGACAAATTTCTTCAAAGTGACAGACACGGAATTGTCGCTGGTTGGGGTATTACAGATGATGGAAATTACAGTCCTGAACTACGTTCAGTCGAACTATTATCAATTGATAGTAACGCTTGTAGAACTAAAATTACTAAAAACGACAAAATTGCAGGTGATAAGTTTTGTGTTGAAACTAGTACTGGAAAAAATGTTTGCCAAGGTGATAGTGGAGGAGGATATCTCATACCAGAAAATGTGGGTGATGCCACATATTATCATATCTGGGGCGTAGTTAGTAATGGTATCACATCTATAAAAGACGGCGTGGCAAAATGTGATGCAAATTTCGTTACAACTTTTACAAATGTACAATATTACAAAGAGATTATATTGGATGCATATGCCAATGCATATGCCGTAATTTAGTTTGGCTTATTGTAGGTAAAATAAAACTTACATTTTATCTAGACAACATTTCAATAATTTTGTTAAGGCTGAAAATACATTATGATAATTGAGTAAATAAAATTTTATTTTCGTTATATTTTTTGGTTGATTTATGTTACTGCTAAGAGATTTTAATACTGCTATTAAAATGTTTTTCTTCTGATTTTTCAACGATGCAATAAACTAGAGGTGGAAAACTATCAGTGGTACTATCGATACTATTGGTAGATTTTAACTATCGCAACTGACGTTGGCTTTAAAGTGGATATAATGCTATCAGTTTTTGTCAGGTATTAATAAATTTTTAAAAATGGGCAAGAGCGGGTAAATATCGTTTTGAAATTTAAAAATTCCATAACATTATTTTCATATGTACACACAAAAAATATTTTAATAATACAGATACTTTAATTTACTACATCAGTTTTTTGTTTTAGTTGGTAGAGTTATGTTCTTCTATTCCATTCTAAATAATTCCTGAAGACGTGGGAAGAAGGTAAATTAACACTTAGTTTCACTTTATTCTTAAAATTCCTTCTTCGGAATGAACAAGCGCAAACACTTGGTAAAAGCTATATTAAAGTTGAAATTTAGGACAGAACATGTCGTTTGAATACTGCATTTAACCGAGTGTTCGCAGAAGCGAGTTAAAAAAAGCCGACACGAAAATTTCTTTTGTTGCCATAAGATGTGGAGAGGCAAATATGTACTTTTGAAAATATTTTAAATTTTTAGTGTTAAGCATTTGTAATTAATAATTATTATTAATACTCGTAAATAAAATAAATAAATTATTTTTAAATTTTTTATTTTCATTTCAATCTTAATAAATTTAAAACATATTTCCTATGAATAGGCAATGATTATATTTCATAAAGTGATCAGTATGCATACACCTTTTTTTCTTTATAAGTTACTTTACTTCTATGTCACTACCTGATACTGTGTATCTTCTGTACCAGGTACATGTATGGGTACATTCATACATGAAATTTCAAACTCTTTTGCTTTCATACATTCGAATTTTTTACCTAACTTTAAAAAATGAAAAATAAATTTTGTTATTATCAAAACAAAAATAACAAAATTTTTACTTAACTTAATTTAATTTTATTTCAGTCCAATGTTTTTGATACACTCGTTTGTTTACAATATTTTGTTCCTTTCTTGCCTGCACAACTCTTATTACCATCTATTTTTAAAAAAAAATGGAATGTTTTAAGAATTTGGAAGCAAGATGCAAATGAAAACTAAAGGAATGGAACGAGTCGAATTACTTATTAGTAGATATACTCTCGTAACAATATTCAAGAAGCTTATGACAATGGATTTTAAACACTTTTTTACAATTTTAAGGACAGTAATAAGCTTTTAGTTAACGTACATAGAAAAATGTGAATTTAACTCTTAGTAGAGTTTCATTTTGTTGATCAGTCCTTGCCATAGTTGAAATAAACATATGTTACATATAAAATTTCATGAAAATCGGTTCAACCGAAATTGAGATACGCGCGTGCACACAGAGAGAGAGAGACAGGCAAACCGACACCTCTCTACAGAGGTTTAATTAGTCTTAAAGTGTCTTCCCACTGAAAACCCGATATGCAAAATTTGTTGCCATCAAATATTGTGGTTAATAAAAAATAAACATTTCTATACTATTTTGAAAACTGAAAATTAAAAGTAGACAAAAATCTTTCAAGTACTCTTTTACAACTCCTCTTTCGAAAACGATAAAAGTAAAATTGAGAGGAATGTAGAGTAAAAAGTAAGAAAGCAATAAAATTCAAAAATTTTACTCAAAAAATATATAATGCAATATACACACATATAAAAATATTGTGTGCGCTACGGCTTCGTCATACACTGTTAACATCAATTTGCGTTTTATTATAAATATTATTATAATATAGATTACAATATTGTATTATATAGAATACAACACAATTACTTTAGTTTAAGTTATGTTCTTATAAGGTTCGTGTTTTGAACTTAAGTCAAAATTATCAACATTTTTTATTAAAATATGTTATCGATAATTGAAAACATTATTTCCCAATATTTACTATCATAATTCCGGATATGCTTGAATCTAGAAGATCGTTTTTCACTATATTCGTTTCGTATTTAGCAATAGTCGGTAAGCTACCTAAAAAAACTTTGTTTTCATTCACAAAGAAACTTTTTACTTAATAAAATTCATTTTTTTCTTTCCGTTGAATATAAAAATACCGGCCCAGTTTCTTCTCAAGAAGAATGTGAAAATGGTATGAAAGCATGTGATAATGGACAATGTATAAATACAGACTTTTGGTGTGATGGTGAAAAAAATTGTGATGATGGGTCAGATGAATCGATTATTTCATGCAGCAGCCTTCAATTAAATTCAACATGCGCAGTTACATCAATTGAGTTTGACTTTTCAAGAATTTATAATATTATACAAATACTAACTTACTATTGAATTTTCAGTTCATTTCAAGTACAGTGTAATAATTCACAATGCATTTTGCAAGAGAGTGTTTGCGATGGAAAACAGGATTGTGATGATGGCTCTGACGAAACTCAAAAAACTTGTGAAAATATGCGTTGCCTAAAATATTATTTTAGGTGCAGATATGGAGCATGCATAAGTAAACTAGCGAAGTGTAACGGGAAAATTGATTGTGCTGATGGATCAGACGAAAATAATGACGAGTGTTTAAAGGAAGAGCCAATCGTTCCAAAACAAAACCATAAAAGGGAGGATTCGGTTACTGAGTCAAGCTCTTTAGTTCGTTGCATTGTTCCTTTCGGAAATGTAATTTCGAAGAACACACACACAAACGAAAGATTCAAACCAGGAACGGTAGTTTCCATGCTTACATCTGTTAACTATTCTTGTCCTTCAAAACACGTTCTAGAAGGAAACATTAACAACTTTTGTGTTGATGAGTGGGTTAATCCACATCCAAAGTGTATAAGTAAGCAATAAGTATAAGAAAAACACCGAACGTCGTAAAACAAAATTATTAAATCCTTCCAATGTTCAATACTTTTGTAGAAATGTGTACTCCAATAAAGGACCATACTATAGAAGTTCAATGTAATTTAAAAGGGGAAGGAGTTGATTGCACGAGTTATGTCGAACCTGGAACCACTGCTAAAATAAACTGTGCAGTCATGTATAAAGAACGAGAACCTATAATACATCAAGAATTAAAATGTCGAAATGACGGTGAATGGAATCATTCACCATTTAAATGCAAACAAATATGTGGAACTCTTGACACAAAAGTAGCATTTAGTGTGAATAGTGAGGTAACCGCTCCTTCTAAAGTACCATGGCATGTTGGAATATATGAAAAACAAAGTAATGGGAAATATGAACACATTTGTGGTGGAACATTATACTCATCAAAAATTGTAATAAGCGCTGCGCATTGCTTTTGGGATTCAAAACGTTCAATTTTGAAAGATGAATCAAAGTTTCTCGTAATAGTGGGAAAAGCTCATAGAGATTATTACGCTAACGAAAGTTCAAGTATTCAAGAATTAAGGTTATCAAAAATTGATATCCCAAAAAAGTAATATTTAAAATTTTGACAATTTGTAACAATTTGTTAAATTTCTTTATATATTGTAGTTATCGCGGGAAAGAAAATAACTTCGCCAGTGACATAGCGGTTTTAACAGTCATTGATCACATTAGATTTAAAAACCACATTAGACCAGCATGTATAATATTTAAAAAACAAAATGAAAAATATCTTCAAAGTGGTAGACATGGCATAGTTGCCGGGTGGGGTATAACAGATGACGAAAATTACAGTTCTGAACTTCGTTCTGTACGTCTATCATCAGTTGAATGTAAAGTCGATAAAAATAATTCGAATGAAAATAATAAGATTGCTGATGATAAGTTTTGTGTTGACACGCATGATGGAAAAAATGTTTGTGAAGGTGATAGTGGTGAAGGATACGTAATATCCGAGGAGCTAGGTAATAAAACTTATTATCATCTTTTGGGTGTCGTTAGTAATACTGTAAATCCAATGGATAATAGCGTGTGTGGCCATAAGTTTTCATCAACGTTTACAAATGTACAATACTATGAAACTAATATACTTGCTGCCAATTTTTCCGCATATAATTGAGCTTTTGATATCTCCATAAGTAAGTATTATGTATCACTGAGGAACTTTATTACAAAGAGGTATTTTAACAATAATAAAACCATTTTACAGACAGGAAACTATGTAATATGGTTATATAATCTTGGTCATTGAATAAATATGTAAAAATTTTGAAGTAAATATTGAAAAATATATGAGAAATTTTTTTATCCTTATTTTTTCATTAGTTTTTATATAGTTTATGAAAACAATCAAGTCTACAAGGATTTTCTGATACATTCTTATCCAATTCGGCTACGTAATTTTTAAATGTTGAAAGGTATTTCACAGCTTGTTTCAAAAATAAAGAAAAATTTGGAATATAATTTTTAAAATGAAATTTAAGTAAAGATATAAAACTGATTATATTATACACACATGTTCTTTTACGTCCAAAAGAACATCAATAAAAAGAAAATAATATATAAAATCTATAGATTTAAATAAAATTCTGCCAACGATCCACAATCAATCGTAATAATAATTCATATTTGTCTATAATTAAATTGTAGAATTTTTTTTGAAATACTATACTTTGTATAAATTTTATCGTTAATTTTTATTTGCTGTGATGCCCAGCGTTACGTCAGTATTATAAATAATAGTTTAATAAAATTAATATTTTTCGTCCAGACACCTCAGTGCACATTTTAAAATGTTAAGTATGAATCCAATTAAGAAATAAGTTTCTAATAATAGTCTCTAATTGAAGACTGCTAGTTTCTTGCGAAGAAGAACTTCTGTCCACCAATGATCACAACTTCACTAATAATTAAATTTCGTGTGCAATAATAGAAAATAAATGATACATTTTCAAAGCAAATATCTTTTCATTGTTTTCTTCGCTTTGAATCATTCAAATGAAAAAAAATCTAACGAAATACAAGAAAAACCTTACCGTTCAATATTTTCCATATCATATAGATCTTCATCTTCGTCAATTCTATCTTGATTATTGTCTAGTCGATCATTTTGATAAATTTCTTGACAACTTTCATTTACACTATTTTGTTTATTAAATTTTTCTTCTTGTTCATACTCACAAAGTTGATCAGATTGTTTGCTTAAACCTTTAATTACGGATGTTGTTAATATTTTGTTTCCCGTTTCTACTGTTGCGCTCAATACTGTTGGTGTAATATTATTTGTACTGTTTTGGTTATTTATTTCATTTGTTGCTTTGTAAGTAATTGGTTGTAATGTTTCTGAAGTTGAATGTTGTACTGATCTTGATGGTATTGGTGAATCAGATATTGAAGTAGATACTGATTCAAGACCACGAGATAATTTTAACATTTCAGCGCCAAATTGATGTAAAGCGGTCATTGTTGATGGCGTCGGCTCTGGTATGCTATATATAACAACACAACATATGCAATTCATTGAATGGAATATCCTTTGTTATTTATAGGCATATTGTTTTTTTTTTTTTGTATGTATATTTTAATTATAAATTAATACCCATATTTGTTTTTTTATCAAGACATCAAATTCACATTCAGATGAAAATTAGTTTTTAGTAACATAAAATTATTATAACAATAGTGGTTGATATACATTTCATTCCAAAATGATAGGGCACATATATGTATATAAATTTGTATAGCAAATTTTTTTTAAAGGATGTAGGTACATACATAGGTATGTTGTATAGAAGTTATATCCAAAAATAAATAATATTAATGAATGTTATGTGTTAAGCATATAGAATTTGAAATGAAAAGAAAAGAAAGAAAGAGATAACCAATATAAAAAATAAGAGAAACATTTACGAAAATAAAATTTTATGTATAAAAATTTATTAGTATTCAATATGAATTTTTAAAATAATGAAAACAAAAGAGTAACCAAGAGAAAGTACAAAATTTAAAATAATTGTAATACAATGAAATCTCGATAGTTTTTTTTAAGTTTAAAATAATTGTGAAAAAAAATATATTTCTTGGCAAAAAGTGCACTTCTAATACTAAAATTTCATTAACCAGGCTAAGATTAATTTAAATAAAATTAACGAAAAAAATTTAGTAATGCTATTGTACTATTAGGATAAATAATAAAATTGAAAGTGGTTCCCTTCATAAGAGATTATTTTAAGTTTTTACATGGTTATAATACAGGATAAATTTGAGCCAGACGAATAATTTATGCTAACTCAAAAGGAATATGTATTTTTATTGCAATCAATGTGAAAATTTAAAATTTTTACCTAATAAGTGTTTTCACTGCATACACTTAGGAGAAACCTGTTGAAAAGCTTTATTTAAAAGTGAATTTTTCATAGTTCTGAAAACACAAGGGACCAAAAATTTCGAATTTACTGATATAAGAATTTGGGCTACATTACTTTTCATGTAGCTTAATGAATATTACGTAGATTGCATGGATTTTTTTTTTTTGAGATAAAAACAGAAAAATTATCTCTTATTAACAAACTATCATAGTTTTAAATTCTAGTCGTAATTCAATGTACTATTTAGGTCATCATAACTTCTAATTTGTAGTTCAAATATCTTAAACTTTCAATTTAGGGACCCAATGATCTTGTACCCCTGCTTTGAAAAAAAACAAAACATTGACAAGAGTAAATCTTCTTAATTATGTCTCGATCTATAATTTTTTTTTTAGATCTATGCTTGTTTATTCACAATAATGATAATATAAGTAAATGATTTTGTTTAACCCCTCTGCACAAATTGGGTCAGAATGAGCCAATTAAAAAAAATACTTATAATGTTTATGTGGTCTAAAATGCAAAACAAAAAAAAAGAAACAAAAACAGAGTATTTTTTTTAAAGCTATCAAATTACAAAAAGATGAAATTTATATGAGGAAAATACGATTCATATTTTTGAGTATTTGTATCACTTCAGCAATTTCGACGGAAATCTACCAAAATTGGAGTACAAGTAAAATTTTCATAAAAAGACTTTTTTAATTCAACCATAATGACGAACATATAAGATCTTGTTTTTTTTTAGTAGCTAAAATTTACCGCATGAGATGTAAAGTCTCTAATTTTGAAAATTGACCAAAGACTCAAAGAAATTCAGGTTTCTGCAACTCTTACAAGTTTGTTTTGAAGCATACCGACAATACAATAGTTTTTAAATGTCAAACAGAAAATTATAAAAACTTTATAATATTTACAGAAAATTATCAAAATTTATATTGATTAAGATTTTAATGTGGATCATTTTAACTAACAACTTGCTCAATAAAAATACAATTTTAAATTGTGCGAAAGGGTTAATCATATTATTTTAAAAACACAAAAAAATGAAACGATTCTTGTTATTTTATTATTTTGAATATTAATTCATTGGTGATCGAAAGTGAAAAAGAATGATTATCTAATATATTGGATATTTTGAAACTACATGGTACACTATTAAGTTGAGATAATAAAAAATATTAATTATAACAAGCAATTCTGTACTGTACTGTTAATTATTAAAAAAATTCAAAAAGTTTCTAAAGTTTTTCATTCTTTAATTATTTTTTTAATAAATAAAATTCATGCACTATATTCTAACTTCTCATTTTAAATAATTATCGCATATAAGAAATATAAATTCATGCTACTTTTTAATATTAAATCGATTCTATCGAGGACTCACTGTAATTTATTATGTACAATATTATGATTTACTTACCTTGAGTCTGGTAGCCATAACTCATGTGTATCTAAATTTGATAATTCTGTATCAGTTGATGCAGCTGAATGCCCATGATTTGGTGTTGTTGAATGACCTGCCTTAAGTAATCTACGCCACGTACAACGTCTTTCTACAATATTTATGAAGTTATATGAGAATTAGCAAATTTTACAAAATTACTATAAAATTAAAGAATATGCTTGTGTCTTTAAGAAATTCTTTTTTTTATATTTTTTATAAAATTCCAGAAAAAAAAAATTAAACCAAGTAAATAATTTACATTAAAAACTTTGTAATCTAAACTTTAAGACTAACTTTGTAATCTTAATAAAAAAAGTGGTTCAAATTAAAAAATTGTGATGTTTAGAACTCAGCTAATAAAATTCATAATCTGCTTTCCTTGTACGAAGTATTGTACAAACTTAGAATCACCTTTTCACTGAAGTTTCTCAAGAGGCAAATTTTAAACTGTCTCCCCATCCTCTAACACTTATAGCCCCTCAAAAACCTAAAAATTCCATTTTTTAAGTAAAGATTGTAGCAAAACCTTAAAAATTTTTTAAATTATGCAAACGTAGAAAAGTAATGCCTGACTTCTTTTACCGCTATATTTGAACTTTCAAAAATAAAATGGCCGTTAAAATTCACCGTTATCCAAAATACGTTTTTGGCAAATTTTTGATATCGTTTTTCTTCTAAACCTCAAGTTGTAGGAGTCTGAAATTTTAGCAGCTGTTAAATAAATAGATCGTTTCGTTGGAAGAAAATTTTTTTTTCACCACCACCTCCTCACAAGTTATCACATCACGAAATTTCTAAAATTTGACTTTTTGCCTTTTCGAAACTGCAAGCTTTTCCATGCCATTAAAAAAATATAACTATTTTTTTAAATGATGCAACTAACCCTTTAATTCGAACATTACGTTAACGCCTCTTTTATTTTTTTTTTTATTTCAAAGAATACAATGCTCATCCTAAATGTATGCAATTTTTTAATGAAATGTATATAAATGAAAGTAATTTTAGTAATGGAGTACATAACTAGATTGTTTTTAAAAACAGTATTTTAACTTGTGAGAGGGAAAGTTTCTACCATTACAAACCATTAGTTTGATCCAATTGTACTAGTGTTCAATATGTTTTGAAAAAGTGTTAATGCATATATATGAGGGTATTTCAATACCCTCATTCTTATTTCAATAAGTCTGAAATTAGATTTGTAAGTTTGCTATTATTTTATATGAAAATTTTCTTCACAATAATAATATAGGCAAATTACTGTTCATATACTTCTAGAATAGTTAAAGTTACCTTTAATAGTGATTTAGGTTTAAATTCCGATTTCCTGTCAATTATAAATATTCTTTGAATGGTGGAATTCAAAAATTACATACACATATTAAATTATTTTTCGAATTATGTCATTGTTTTTTTCTTTAATGTGCGATAACTCTATTATTATGGTAATATTTCTTCTAATTTTTGTTCTTCTCCTAAATATATGCAATAACACGTGGGTTTTGAACCTTTAATTATAGATAGGTTATACATTATTATTTTACAAACTCATCAGAAAGTTTAAAAGTCCTTTATCTTATAAAATTATACATATGTCGCCATAAAAGGACAATAATAATATTTTAAAATATTTCATATTATCCGAATTAATAATTTTATTTTTTGTAAACTGTACATCTATATTATTATGCAATATAAAATGAAAATCATAAAATTAACGCACGTATTTTTTTAATAAATTATATGTTCATGAACCAAGCAATAAAAGTTATTTATTAAATTGTGTCATTTGTATCACGAACCAAAATAAAAAAAAAAGGATGCTATTAATTTTTTCTTTCATGTTAAAAAAAAAATAGAAGAAAAAGATTATAAATATGAAAGACTCAATGATACGTGAATGGAAATTTTCATTTAATCTTAATAGCATAGAAAAATTCTATAATGACGAATGAAAATATGAAATTTTTTCATTTTATCGGAATACTTTTATTTCTTGATTATCAAAATATCTGGCTCCTTATATTTATTTATTAAAAAAATCATTGGAATTTTATATCGATTATATCAGCGATTATATATTGTATGTCATTATTATTGCAATATCGATAACTATCTCAAATTTTTAAAATAATTTAATAAAGTTGGGTCAAACCAATGGTTTGTATTGTAGCACTTTTCCCTTCAACAAGTGAAAATACTGCTTTTAAGTACAATATATGCATATCAACCACACTATTAAAATTATTTTCATTCATAAACGAAACTATTTCTAGGATTGCATATATTTAGGATGAACGATTTATGCAGTCCTTGAAATAAAGAAAAAATTAATATAAAGTAGGGTTAACATAATGCTCGATTTTAAGGGTTAATTGCGTGAGTACTCGTAAAGAAAAATAATTCTATTTTTTAATATCATTGAATTTATCGTTAGCTTTTTGCGTTTATAGAAATTTTAAAAATCTTGCGGTTTCGAAAATATAAGGTGTCATAAATTCAAATTTTACAGATTTCAAGAGGCGGTACCTTAAGAGGGGGTGGAGATGGAAAAAAATTTTCTTCTAACGAAATGAAACATTTATAAAAGTTCCTAAAATTTCAAGCTTCTACAGGCTGAAGTCTGGAAGAAAAAAGACATAAAAAATTTCGAAAAAACGGACTTTAGATAACGGTAAATTTGAACGGCCATTTTGTTTTTTTTTTTAAGTTTAATTATATTATACCGCGCTAGGGGAGCAAGCCACTGTCTTTTTGCGTTTGCAAAACATGAAAAATGCTTATGGTTTCACTGCACTAAATAGTTAAAAAATGGCATTTTTATTGTTTTGGGGAGATATAACTTCTAGAGCGGGAGATAGGTGAAAATTTTGTTCTACGATAATAAGTTTCTAGCAAAGATCTATGTACGTATTAAATTTCAGCTTTCTATCTTTAAGGGTGTAGAAGTTTTGTAAACAAAAAAAGTGTCCACGGACGGACGGACGGACAGAGTGAAACTAATAATCACCTTTTTTCAAAAAATTTTTGGAAAAGTGCTAAAAAGTACGGTAAATATTATAAGTATAACTGTGAACGTTAATATGCTTACTATTTCTTATAAAACATTTTAAGCACAAGGTGTAACTTATGCAAGACATGATGGCAACGTCAATACTGCATTGAAAATTTATTAAAATGGTCATCGGAATGCATTTTCCTTTGCTAACTACTTCTTATATACAATAAAACAAAACGAATTATAAATATTGTCAAGAGGAAAAATATTTACAAAAAAAAAAAATTATAAAATATTCGCATACCAAAAATATTCTTTCGTATATTGCAGCTCACAACAGGATATGAAATGAATTATTAATAAATTTTTAATTTATATTCGAAATGGTATTTCGTATATGTATGCAGTGAAAAATAAAATTATAAAAGTAATGAGTTTTCACTTTAGATTTATGATGATATATAAAATTTCGACCCATTTCAAAGTAAAAAGAACATTGCATTTAATATAAAACTGATTATAAATTATGTGTTTGCTTGCCAATATTACAGCCCAATACACTATCACAAATTCATGTATTAAAATTATTTTAAAAAATTCTTTAAATTATTTTAAATTGCAACTAGTTGATTTACTAATCAACTAGTTTTAAAAACTATGCATAGCAATAATTTACAAAAATTTCACTTGTAATATCATGAGATTTTAAATTGACTATCAAAATGACTATTTTTAATAGAAAATCCTTGATACTTATTTGTTTAATTTGTTAAAATTTTCAAAATATATGTACAATATGTACGTAAAACTGTGAAACAAAACAAAACTTTTTCTCTATAAACGGTTGCGTATGTAGTAATAAAGATTTGTAATGCAATTAATTTGGCAATAAGCATTAGATTTTTATAGACTGATCCACAAATTAGCACCATATTTATTTTTTCTTCTGTAAGAATATTATGGTCGTTGTCATTATTTGTATTTAAAGAACATTATATAAGCTTGAAATGAACACAAGTTCGTGATTATGTTCTCATTTAAATATTTTGTTTTTCTGATTGTTTTTTTTTTTTTGGGTATCTCCTTCTAAGTATTTTGTAAACATTCATAAAATTTTATGATTTTTCTATGTAAATTTTATTCTTATTAAATTTTTCTCTTGACCGTCCCTGAAATAAAAATTCAAGTTGTTTGAAATTTGGAATATTATGCATTACTGTAATAAGATTTTATTTAGAATTTCAACACAAAAATTTATCATTAAATTTTAAGCAGAATTTCTTTTATTTGGCTTTTTAGGAAGAAAATACAAAATTATAAAGAATTTTATATAAAATCTAAATAAGAATATTACAATTTTCAATTGAATGAAAACTTTATTATTAAAATATTAAGTGTGTGCTTATGAAATTCAAGAAATTTAAATTATATTATGAGGGGCTCAGAAGCAGAGTGGCGTAAGCCACAATGTCGGTTATGCCACTTTGCTTTTGAAAAATCAAAAAATTTTCACAAAATCAGAAAATTTTTACAAAAGCAAAAGTACTTTTGTGAAAAATAAATAGGAAAAAAGCTATTGCGAAACTGGAAACTAATATTACTGATTTTAGAAGATATAATACATAACCGATTGCAGCAAAAAAAAAATTTTTTTTATATGTGGCTTACGCCACTCTGCTCCTGAGACCCTCATATAATATATGTATACATTTACAAAACATAAACACATTGTATGTTTTTTTTTATATTTATCAAGAAAAAAAAATGCCATCTCTGCCGGAAAAAGAAAAAAATTTTAATTAATATTTAAACATTTTCTCTGAAACCTAAATTTATAATTTTAAATTCTCTATATTCTGTATATGTAAACTTAATATCGTATTGATTCAATTAAAAATTAATGTTGAATTTGTTGAAAAATCTGTTTAGCAATATAAATTAAACGCAGTACATTTAATCCAATTCAAAATTAAGAAACTAAATCTTAAAATTTAATTTAAAAATCAAAATGTAAATTGTCCCATATATTTTTTGATGCAGAACGTAAATGTCGATTTTAAGGATGTTGCAGTTTGGCACCCCATTGCCCTGCATATATTTTACTTATATGTAGACCAATTGTCTCTTATATAAAATTTAAGAACTAAAATGCAAGAATTTAAAATATCGATAGAAAAACTTTACCTTCAAGATACTGTGGTTTATACAACAGCGAGTTAAAATTATTTCTATAATAAAAACGTATAATATTAAAAAAAAGCTTATATAAGCCAAGAAATTTTTCATTAAAATAAATTGATAATTAAATTAAATCACTTCAGTATTTTACAATGTAAACATTGGGTACATGTACCGAAATTCAGGACATTCAAATAAAAATATATGAGCTATACGTACCTCTACATATATGAAATTAATAAAAGAACATAAAACTTTCGAACTATACTAAATGATATTATACACTACACACATAAACATGTAGACCTTTATGTAAGCCTATAATTTATTATATATATATATATATATATATTTTTTTTTTTCTGTAAATTGCTACATACTTTGTAAGGTTCTAATTTAATTTGAATATAAGATAAAGTTTTTTATTTCTTTCCCTTAAATTTTACGATAAAGTTTGATCGATTATTATCACAGCTACTTTAACTATAATGTTATTATGTTTAAAGACATTAAAAGAGGACATTAAAATATTTTTTTATGATTTGTTTTTGTTTTTTACATATCACAATATTCAGAACATTAATTTTAATCATAATTTATGTACTTTAGTTTTAAAATTATATAATAGTGTCCCTTAAATTTATTATAAAGTTGAATATATTGTACATACATAAGAACGTTTAAAAGTTCACTTACAAATATTTGTGTTTTATAATATTATAATGTGGACGTAATTATTTTTTTATATGCATATAAAATTTTATATTTGAATTGTGTAATAGATTTTTTATATAAAAAGTAAACTATAGGATATTATGTGAAATTATGTGAAATTCATAAACGTATATTATGTTGTTAGGGCTTTACTCTCGAATTTTGTTCGAATTAAAGACTTAATAAAAATGATTTTTATAAAATATTTATTAATTTCGTAAATGATTCAAAGTTATTTCTTTTAACATTTTTAGATTTCAGCGCTTAACACTTCAGAATTTTTGTTATTATTTCTTCATTTTTAATAAAGTCAATAGACTCAATTTATCAAGGTAGTTATCGAAAATTACCACTTCGTTTTTATTCTTATTATGATTATTTTCATAATATCTTTAATTATCAATTTAAGAAAAAAAATCGAAAAAAGATCCTTATTATTTTCACTCTGTCCATATATCAGTGTGTCTGTTTAAAAAACTTCTACATCCTTTAAAATAGAAAATTAAAATTTTTTTATACAATTTTGCTACAAGTCTAAAATAAAATTTTTTAGTTGCTTCGCACTCTCTAAAACTTATAGCTCTTTAAAGTCCTAATCCAGTTTTTTACTATCTATTGTATCAAACTACAAACGTTTTTTAAATTCTGTTTTTTTAAATTCTGACCGGCTTCTATTACGAAAAAGCATAATCAAGCACTACCATAGCAAAATGATCGTTGAAATCAGGCCCGCTATTTCAAATTTTTGATATCGTTTTTCTTCTAGACGGTAGGTTGTAAAAGCCGATAGCAGGTTTTAGACACTAATAAATAGTTTATATTGTCGAAGGAAAATTTTGTGCCAAATCTCAAATTTTTGCAAAAGCAGAAATCTACCGGTAAATTCTATTTCATTAAAAAAATAAAATTAATGGAATTCCTTAACTTCCTAATTCAGCCATTATGTTAAAAATTCTTTCAACTTAATGTTTTTTTTTTTTGTTCATCCCAAATGTATGCAATAATTTCATACATATGCTGTATATTTTGGCATTTTGGAATGAAATTATTTTAAAAATTGTTTTTGTAGATTGTTTGAAAAAAAAAAAATATTTTCATTTATTCAAAAGAAAAGTGCTACTTTACAAACCATTGTTTTGACCTAACTTTATTTTTATACTTTTAATTTTATTTGTTTTATTCATTTACAAAATACTATCATTAAAATAAAAAAAAGAAATGAAAAAAAAAAATAAAATCTAAAAATAAACTTACCTAAACCTGGTGTTTGACCAAGCCATCCACTAGCCCATCCACTTGCTGGTGGATTACTACCACCTAAATTTTGTTGTTGTCTTGCTAATAAACGTACAGTTAAACAATATGTTAATAGCATAACACCAAGTGGAATGTAAAAGCAAACAATTGAACCAACTAATTTGTATACAGGATCCGGAATCTGGCACGTACCGTTTACTAATACGGATGCATGGTTCTATAAATGTATATATATATATATTTATATATAGTTTTGTATTTAATGGAATAAAGAAAAAGATAAACAAAAAAAAAATATAAATTTTTTGATAATCATCATGATAATCGTTATTACGTGATGGCGGCGATTATGTACAATAAGTTAGAAAAATAAATTTAATAGGACGATTTTTGTTATTTTTGGTTTATGATTTTCTATGTTTTTTTTTTTATACTAGTATATAGGGTACGATTATTTTATTATTATATTTTGATTTTAATCATAACCATTATAAATATTAACATCATCATTATCATCATTAGAAGACGAGGCCATAAAAAATATTTTCCAACCGTTGTATAAAAAAACACAAAAAATAAAGAATGAATTAATTTCAATTTGAATATTACGTTTCGTTCCGTTTCGTTCCATAAAATTTTCAATATAAAACAAAATCGTTAGAAAGTTTAATAAAATTTTTATTATTGTTGTTTTTATTACTTTTATTTTTTGGATTTTTTTTATACATACAAAATATTTTATGCTCTATTTTTCGGGTGACATTGTTGAATTAATTGTTTGAAATTCGTATGGCGAAGCGTTTATTGTTCACCAAAAATAATATTAATAAAATAAGTAGGTATGTTTTTCTTTCAACTCCCATCATCTCTAGTTTCATTGACAATAAAATAAAGCATAAAAAATAGGAAAAGAGTATGTATAATATAAAATAAATTTTATGAACAGGAAATTTGAAAATATGGTTTTTGCAGTTTAATTTATGTGGTTTTTGTTTTTATTTAAAAAATTCTATTTCTAAAAAAAAACAAAATTGAAGTTTAGAATAACTTTAAATTTGTAATTTAATAGGTACTGCAATTAAGAGTTATAAATATTCTTGTTTCCTTATATAGTATTCGAAAATGATTTAAAAATTTTAAAGTTGTAGAGCAACTACCAAAAGAACACATATAATCTCAATGATTCTGTAGATTTAATATTTTGTCTGATATGGTTGTACAACTTCATAAATTGTATGACAAGTACTCGAACCACTGACCAACCCAAATTAATTAAGTAGGACTCTCAATTTCTTGTAAGGTCCTGGCTTTCATTATTACAAATCATCTGTAGAAATTTGGTGAACTTAACTCAATTTATTTTTAAATTATCACCTTTATCACTTATACACAAACGGAAAGAAAGACACATGGCTAAATTGACTCAAAATTTAATGCTGATCAAAAACGCATATTTTTGCGTCTATATCTTAGATATTTATTTCTTAGCATTACAAACAAATTGGTAAATTAAACAATACCATTCGAATATCCATTCGTACGAATATTTTCTCAGTATTATCAAAAATATTCAATATTTTAATAATATAAATACCTTTGAATACATTAAACTAAGTGGCAAACTCATTGCAATTGATAAAAGCCATACAAAAACAATTTTTAACGTAACACGTCTTCTTGTTTTATTTCGTCCAAATCTCATCGGATATCGTAACGATAAATATCGATCCACTGATATTGTGCATAAATGCATGATACTAGCTGTACAAAAAAGGACATCTAAACAAATCCAAACTAAACAGTGTTCTGAATGCAATGGAAAATAACCTGAAAATAATATAAATTTAAAATTATTAAAAAAATTAAATTTACAGTATATCGTATAAATAAATTGATTAAAATGAATATAGGACGATATGCTGTTGCTGCCTTTAGAGCAAGTTTTTTAAATATTCTGTTATAATACAACATGTCAACTGTCATAAAAAATTATTGGATTCGAAACATACTAGATATGTTGCATTTTTAGCACTTTTCCAAAAATTTTTTTGAAAAAAGTGCTTATTAGTTTCACTCTGTCCGTCCGTCCGTCCGTCCGTGGACACTTTTTTTGTTTACAAAACTTCTACACCTTTGAAGATAGAAAGCTGAAATTTAATACGTACATAGATCTTCACTAGAAACTTATTTCCGTAGAACAAAATTTTTACCTATCTCCCCCCCTCTAGAAGTTATACCCCCCCAAAACCCTACAAATGGCCTTTTTTAAATATTTGTTGCAATGAAACCATAAGCATTTTTGAAATTTTGCGAACGCAGAAAGGCAGTAGCTTGCTTCCCCTTGCGTGGTATGCTATAGTTAAACTTTAGAAAAACAAAATGGCCGTTCAAATTTACCGTTATCTAAAGTCCTTTTTTTCCAAATTTTTGATGTCGTTTTTCTTCTAGACCCCAGACTGTAGAAGCTTGAAATTTTAGGAGCTTTTAGATATTAACAAATAGTTCATTTTGTTAGAAGAAAATTTTTTTCCATCTCCACCCCCTCTCAAGTTATCACCTCTTGAAATTCGTAAAATTTGAATTTTTGACACCTTATATTTCCGAAACCGCAAGCTTTTCCAAATTTTTATAAACGCAAGAAGCTAACGGTAAATTCCATGCCATTAAAAAATATAATTATTTTTCTTAACTCACACAATTAACCCTTAAAATTGAGCATTATGTTAACCCCATTTTATATTATTTTTTCTTTATTTCAAAGACTGCAGAAATCATTCATCCTAAATATATGCAGTCCTAGAAATAGTTTTGTATATGAATGAAACTAATTTTAATAGTGCGATAGGTATACATAGACTGTATTTAAAAGCAGAATTTTCACTTGTTGAAAGGAAAAGTGCTACAATACAAACCATTGGTTTGACCCAACTTTATTTTTTTAAATTTGTAGGACAAAATTCATTTGGGAAAAATTGACCTAAATTTTCGGCTCAACTTTTTTTTTTAAATTTCTTGAAAAAACTGTTATCGTTTTTAGTTGGCCTCGTCTATTTTATCTTTGATCGTATGAAATTACAAAATCTTTGTATCTTTTTTTAAACTATAAAATAAAATTTACAAATTGTAATTTATTGAAATTAAAAATATTAAATTGCGAATAATAAAAGAAGTATTTTTCAATTTCAATAAATAAAATAAAAAAATTTCTTTATCGCAATTAAAAAAGGCACAAAAGCAATACTTTAAATGTAACAACTGGGGAGGAAATTGTAAAATGAACTTCCAATCAATAATTTTTTCATCTCCCAAATGTAACGCCATGAAAAAATTGAATAAATAGAAAATAATATTTTAAAAGTGTTAACATAAAAATATAGTATTTGTAAACAGCAATTTTCCAATTAAAATATTTTTTTCATAATAATTGAATACAATGTTATAAAAATTCAAGGTTTTCCAGAGAATAACGAAAGTGTATGAATAGCTTATAAATTTTTTTAGGTAAATAAATTCAAAATTGTTATATTCATTTTAAGACTTATAAATTTCTATAAAATTTACAATATTCAATTTTTTATTACATAAAAATTTAAATATGCTAAAATTTTCCCAAAAAAAATGAAATTTCAAAATTTTTATTGTCTAATTTTTGTTTTGCTTATATGCCAATAAAATAATGACAGACAAACCTTAAATATAATATGAATAAATAATTTAGAATTTTATTTCAATATTTTGTTTAAAGTGTGCAAAATATAATGTCAAAAATCAAAAAGAAAAATCAAAAAGCATTATTTTGTATATTTGTAGTGAAAAGTTCAAGGTTTCAAAGCGAATTCATCAAAGAGCGAAATATTGAGGGAAAGCAATGAGAAAAGAATGAAAATTAAAGGAAGTGTAAAACAAAACAAACAAAAAACAAAAGAAAATTAAAAAAAGCTAAATGAAATATTTCAGTTATTTTTCTTTTCCGTAACTTAACAGTTTTGACATTAAGAGAAAATTGGAAATGAAAGAAAAAATTGCTATCATTAATTAATTTTCTTTTTTTCTTTTTAGCTTTTAGCTTTAAAAGAAATTTTTAATAAGCACTTTATTAATTTCACTCTGTCCGTCCGTGGACCCGTTTACAAAACTTCTACCTTTTTTAAAATTGAAAACTAAAATTTCACATGCAAATTGACCTTTATCAGAAACTTATTTCCATAAAAGAAAAGTTTTACCTATATCTGCCGCTCCCTAAAAGTTATAACCCCTGAAAAATTTAAAAAACCTATTTTTTAAATATTTGTTTCAAAGAAACCATGCAACATTTTTTAAATCTTGCAATCGCAAAAAAAATGTATCTAACTTCTTTTTCAACGGCACAGCGTAATTAAATAATAAGATACAAAATGGCTGATAAAATTTACAAAAAGCTGTTTTTTCAAAGTTTTGATATCGTTTTTATCTATATAGGTTGTAGGAGTCTGAAATTTTAGCAGCTCTTAAACACTAATAAATAGATCATTTCGTTAGAAAAAAATGTTTTTTCACCTTCATTGCCTCTCAAGTTATTCTCTCTTGAAATTTGTAAAATTCAAATTTTTGTCATCATAATATATTTCCGAAACTGTAAGCTTTTTTAAAATTCAAAACATATAATATTATTTATCTTAACTCACATAATGTTCGAATGTGAGTATATCACTTGAATTCAAACATTATGTCATAAGGCTCTTTCAATTTTTTTTGTTTTTTCCTAAATGTATGCAATCTTTGAAATATTTTGAACATGAATGCAAGTAATTTAAATAATGTAACAGATTATTTAAAAAACCAGTTTGTTTTCATTTATTAAATGGAAAAGTGCTACTTTACAAACGTTATTTGATTTTCAAATTAAACACTAGAATAAAGTGCATATTTGTATATATATATGATATTTTTAATTTGTATAATTTCTGCCTCGATTATAAATTATTTTTTTAGCTGTAAGCTTTGCACATCACATAGTAAAAGTAAATATGATTGACACAGAACCATTTTCTACAATGAAGGCTTTCCATTTGTACAAATTATTTAATAATCTTATCTGTATTATATAAATAAAAATATATAATTCTGATATATATATACATATATATAAATGTTGTGATTATATATAAAATTATTTATCAATATCTTAAATTAATTGCGTGAGAAAATTCAATTAATTCCAAATATTTTATCTAAAATGTTTTTTTGAAACTTTGAATTGTTTTTGATAAGATTATTCTTTAAAAATGATGCCATTGTATAGTTTATATTAGTCTTTGACAAGCCCAATTTTTACTTCTCCCATTTCATAAATATAAAGGATATTAAAACTAATCAAAAACAGGAAAAAAAAAGCGTAGAAATGTGTAAAATTTATCTGTAGGGATTTCTCCGTTTTGGCGTATTGTAATTGATTTTATAATTGTAATTGAAAATTTTAATTTAGATTTTTTTGTTTTGATTTGGCTGTACAACAAAGTAATTAAGATTATACCGATACTTAACTATATGGCCGAAATTTTCAGGTAGTAACGTGAAAACAAGAAACCTCACATTAAATTTCTTGTTGCATCGTTGCTTTGTAGTATTCTCAACTGATAGCATTTACTCATAGGTTTCTTTTACTTTAATCTAAATTAATTTTAATGAGCTCATATGTCTATAATGTGTCGATAATTTTACTTTATTTTATAATGAAAATTAAATTTCGTAAACCAAATAATAATTTAATGAAATTGTCAGTACAATTTTTTTTTTATACAAAATATTTTATTGTGTGTGATATTAAATATTATTTTTACATAATAAAAATTTCGATTTCATGTACCTATATATATATAAATGTATGCAGCATATGTACATTTTCAATTCTATACATTTTAAAAATTTTGATTGGGTATATACAAAATATAAAATGTGCGGGATGCGGGTACAATCTACATACTTACAATATAAACACATAATAAATGTAATTCAAATTTATATTGTTAAAAAAGAAAATTTTATATTTTGTCTGGGAGCAATATAAAACTTAATTTCCTTTCTCTCTCTCTATGTCTCTGTGTCTCTCTCTCTTATATAAGTGAAGAAAAGAAAATCTGATAAAGTAAAAAGTTAAACAAGGATTGTACAATATTTTGAACATAATAAGGATATTTCATTCATTTTTAAAATAAACAACTGAAAATAAAATCTTAAAAATATAAAAATATAATAAAGGAATGAATATGTTAGTAAATTTATTTGAGCAAATTGACCGTAAATCTTTCATACCTTTTTTAATTTTTTTTTTTTTGTTTTGTTGTTATAAACGTATAAGAATAAAATCATATAGAACAAATCAAAATTCATATCGTATGAAAATAAATCATCACTGTTATACAATAATAAATTTTCATGGTTGATTTTCCTTGACTTTTTTAAAGTGAAGCATTTAAATAAAAGTATTTCGTTTGCATATGCTCTGTTACATAAAGGCACATCTTATTTGGAGATATCTCTGTTCTTAAGCAACTCATACTAGGAATACATTATGTCTTTTCGTCTTCAACAATCTGTAAAACTTCATGATTTTAACCAAGAAATACCATATTTTAAACGTATTTTAAACTTAATTCCTTAGGTATTCTATTGAGAAACCAAAAAATTTCTATTGAAAAAAATAAAATTTTCAGGAAATATGTAATATGCATGATATTGTATAGGAATATAATGCATATTACATATGGACTAGAAAATATTTTGAAATAATTATTTCTTACATGTTACAATTACCCTGAATCCAGATAATAAGAAATTTTGGAACATAT